TATATATATATATTCTTTGATTGACCCTGAAATTTAATTAAGACTTGATGCTGTAAAATCTTTAATTTCTAAATTATCATGCTTGTAAATAGTATGTGTGTGCAAAAATACATGTGTATGTAAATAATATGTATGTGTCTCAAATTATTTCTACAGAAAGTAGAGTTGCCGGATAATCCACGATCAACCTTCCTGCTGGCCTTCAGTCCAGATAGGTAACTAATACATAATTTTAAGAAAAAAAGCGAAAATAATAAATGCTAAATAACTTATGTTTTCGCTTGCTTCCTGAGATGATAATTACATCTTTTACTTTTATAGGAATCTTGTGGCCTCAACCCACGTCAACCATAACATCTACATCACAGATGTGAAAACAGGAAAGTGCCTGCACTCTTTAGTGGGCCATCGACGCACACCTTGGTGTGTGACCTTTCACCCCAGCATCCCTGGCCTGGTTGCCTCTGGGTGCCTTGATGGAGAAGTCCGCATTTGGGACCTGCATGTGAGCTTCAGTTTTGTATTACGTTTTAGTTATGCCTAATATGAGTGGACCTTCCCCTTTTGCAAACATTTTTATCTTGGTTGTTTGAATTTCATACCGTTCAGTCGCACCTCTCGGTGGTTATTCTAGTCTTGATCAAATTGCAGATCATCTACATGTATACTAGGCATTAGAAACACAGACGTTGCTGTTTAAATGAATGCTGTGGATGTTTTTCCCTATTCCTAGGGTGGTAGCGAGAGCTGGTTCACGGAGAGTAATGTTGCCATCGCTTCTCTAGCGTTCCACCCCACGGCTCAGCTCTTGCTCATCGCCACCAACAATGAACTCCACTTCTGGGACTGGAGCCGACCAGAACCTTTTGCTGTGGTCAAGACCGCCAGCGAGACCGAACGTGTTCGGTGTGGAAGCAATACTGTTATTTCTTAGTGGTCAACAAGAAATTAAAATAGACCCTTTTTTCCATAATCATTAAAACAATTAATCCTAATTTTTTATTTTTTGGCCAGGTTGGTGAGATTTGATCCTCTAGGTCATAATCTTTTAACAGCTATTGTGAACCCATCCAACCAGCAGGTTAGAAACAACCATTTTTCCTGTCAAAATAGCTGTACTGTATTTTCCTATGTGCATTTCCCTTTTACAAACATAATTTTATGAGCGTTTTGCTGTGTTTCTATAGAATGATGATGACTCCGAGGTCCCCATGGACAGTATGGATATGGCTTTGTTCCGCCAACGTTCTCTTTTACGCTCCCCACCCGTACGTCGCACACCTATCCTGCACAATTTCCTGCACATATTGTCCTCTCGCTCTTCTGGGGCGCAGGCTGGCGATCAATCCCGCCCTGCCCCTGAGCCCCGAGAGCCTCCCGGAATGCCCCGGTTCCAATACCCAGTGCGGACAGAACCGGGTGACCGCCCTGCCTTACAGGGCTGCACGCATCATTTGGGTTTGGGCTGCCTGTGCAGTCGTTGTGCTGCCTCGCGGAACTTATTCACGCAGAATCCGACAGGCCTCCAGCCTTCGGATTCGCCTCAACCGCAGACTCAGTCGGGCCCCTCTGCGTTCTCGCCCGCTCCTAGCCAGACCCACACCTCCACGGACCGACCTTCTGCTTTTAGCAGTGTGTTCAGTGGGGCTGCGGGGAACTCTGCTCATCGGGGACTCTTGCCTCTTTGGACTATTGATCCCTTGGGGTCACAAGCACCCGGTCCTCTCGAGGCCCCTGGGCGTCTTCCTGGGGCTGATTGGTCTGGTAGTCTGCTGAGCACGGGACATGAACATGGGTTAGGTGCGATTGGGGTGGAAAGCAGCGCCGGAAGGGGTGTAGTGCCCCCTCCTAGGACGAGCTCCTCTTCTATGGATCTCCTTTCCCTGCATAGGTTCCCCGATGGTTCCTCTTCATCACCCATATACACTTCTGCTACAGAAGGGCGAGGCCTAGTGCTGCCCGGCACGGAGCCCAACCGGGGACGAGCCAATGACGGCACCAGTAGTGGCCATCATCCCTTCTATGACAACACCCAACGCAACAACCCCGCCTCCATACGCAATGTCCTGCAGTGTAACCTGAGCCGTTACTTTATGGAATATGAGCGCATGCAGGAGTTGGAGCGACCCGGTGGCAGCCGAGAGGTGCCGGGTGGAACGGGACCCATGCAGGAGCTGCTCAACAGTAGCATGGACACAGAACGTCCCGGGCCTTCGCATAACAGCTCTTCCCACACTGGAAACGCAGGCACGGTCGCCGGCCCCTCTCAAAACCACCCCAATCGTTGCCGTTCGTGCCACAACCTCCTCACCTTCAACCACGACACTCAGCGCTGGGAGCGTTCTGGTCAGACCTCTTCTTCCTCTTCCTCTCAAGATGGACCATCCTGGCCACTTTCAGTGCCTCCGTTTGAGGACTCAGGTCAGGGAGCACGGGTGGAGGCCCAGGCCCCTGAGATGAGGCCCATGGCTTTGGGCGAGACCTCCTCTGGGCTACAGGACCAGCAGCCCATGGGTCTCGCGTACAATCAGGAGACGGGGCAGTGGGAAAGCATGTACCGGCAGCCGACGGCAAGTGCTGCTTCTGAGGCAACACCAGACGCCTTAAACCCAGAGGTGCCTGTTGATAATCCGGACGAGGACTCACTCAGGAGGTGAGGATAAACAAGAACTAAATTTGGTTTTTGAAGGGATAGTTCACCCAAAACTGAAAATTCTGTAGTTAATTACTCACCCTCATGTCGTTCCAAACCAGTAAGACCTTCGTTCATCTTCGGAACACAAATTAAGATATTTTTGATGAAATCCAAAGAGTTTTCCGACCTTGCATAAACAGCAACACAACTCACACGTTCAAGGCCCAGAAAGGTAGTAAGGAAATCATTAAAATAGTCCATTAAAATAATGACACTTTTCAACAATTTTTTTCTCTTCCGTGTCAGTCTCCATTGTGCATTCACCAGAGTACTACGATGTAGTGTTGTCAAAAGTACCGACTTTGGTACCAGGCGATACTGAAATTTTTTAAATGTCAATTTCCTGCTAACATTGGAGCGTTGTTGAGCTGATTCTTAAACACTGCTGATTGACCATAGTGTTCACGTGCTCATCAGATATGACTGTGATTGGCTTCAATGATCATCGCTTCGCACTCTTCACCGAGCGCTCAGAAGCACATGGGAGTGTTTAAAAGCAGGCATCTGTCAGCTAAACCGTCTATGTGCAGATATATTAGGGATCCATTGACGGGTCTGCTGATAGACGCGGCTTATAAACGCTCCCATGTGCTTCTGTGTGAGAAGAGTGTGAAGCGATGATCATTGTAGCCAATCACAGTCATATCTGATGCGTTGCGCCTTTATTACAAGCAGAGGAATGCACATGCAAGCGTCGTGGTACTGTCGTGAACATGCGTCAAAGACTGACACAGAAGAGATTGTTGAATAAAGTCGTTATTTTTGTTTTCTTTGCACACAAAAAGTATTCTCGTAGCTTCATAACATTACGCTTGAACCACTGATGTCACATAGACTATTTTAACAATGTCCTTATTACCTTTCTGAGCCTTGAACGTGGCAATTGCGTTGCTGTCTATGAAGGGTCAGAACGTTCTCAGATTTCATCAAAAATATGTTCATTTGTGTTCCGAAGATGAACAAATGTATTATGGGTTTGGAACGACATGAGGGTGAGTAATTAATGACAGAATTCTCATTTTTGGGTGAACTGTCCCTTTAAGGTGTGGTCACATTAGCGAAATTTCAGTAAAATTTTGTGGGAAAAAAAGGTCTATTATCTGCTGTCAAAAGTGTAAAGATGCATGAAGTCACTTTAAGTAATCAAGCAAATTTCTGCTTTTCAACATGGCAAATTGGCATGTCCAACTTGAATCTGTTGCGAAATCTGCATGGGGTAATTTTTTTTGCCCTTATGCGAGGCTCCCGTTCACGTGGATTCCTATTGAAATGGTGGGATTTTGCCTGCTGATATCCCCGAACATCGGTAAATGTGACCGCATATTTACATTTGTCTTTCCTGTTACTTATTTGTATCTCATCCTCTGCATCAGGAGGTTGTTGGAATCATCGCTGTTTCCGTTATCTCGATATGATATGTCTGGCTCCAGAGATCATCCCATATACCCAGATCCTGCCAGGTACCTGCTTGAAAGCCTTTATGTGCAAACTCAAGGCTGATTATTGGGCTTTAACTTCAGAGTTAGACTCTTTTTCTCTTCCACATCTCCTCAGGCTGTCTCCAGCTGCTTACTATGCTCAGAGGATGATCCAGTATCTGTCTCGGCGAGAAAGCATACGCCAGCGTTCTTTACAGAATCGCCTACGGACGCTCTCAAACTCTCAAGCCGACAGCCAGTCCAACAACCCCTCCTCCACGCCACCAGAGGCCAGTGATGGAGACTATGAGGACATCGAGTGAGTCTGATAAAACTCATTGCATCCTCACTCACATATACATACATCTATATTACTGTACGATTGCAATTACTGTTATCTAAATCCATTTTGCTGTGTTCATCCTTGTGGTTTTGAATTGAGTTAGTGTTTAAAATATTTATTTTCTCTTTCGGTTACAGGGAACCTGGAGACAGGACAAGACACAGAATGCCCCGCAACGCTCGAATGTCAGCCCCCTCTCTTGGGCGCTTTGTCCCACGGTAAGTGTCATATGCGACTGTAAAAACAGTAATATTGTGAAATATTTGTACAATTTAAAATTACTGTTTTCTATTTGAATAGTTTTTAAAATATAATTTATTCTTGTGATGCAAAGCTGAATTTTCAGCATCATTACTCCAGTCTTCAGTGTCACATGATCCTTCAGAAATCATTCTAATATGCTGATTTGGTGCTGAAAAAACATTTTCTTATTATCTATGTTGAAAACAGTTGATTAACATTTTTGTGGAAACCGTGATACATGTTTGTGTTTTTCAGGTTTTATTGATGAATAGTTTAAAGGAACAGTAGATATTTGAAATAGAAATGTCCTTATTCTTTTAGAAAAAAATCTTTACAAATCTTTACTGACCACAGTCTTTTGAATGCTCAAGTCAAGATAAAAAAATACATTTAATAGTATATGAAATAATGTACTACAATGATCGTTCTTTTTTTTTTCTTTTTTTTGGTTTCTTGCTTTAGATAAGTTAATAAATTAATTCAGATTTCTGAGCTTTTTCAGAGAAAGAAAATTGTGTTAATTTGTTATTAACATTAATATAAACATGTATTTTTGTCTGAAGGAGGTTCCTGTTACCAGAGTACCTGCCTTACGCTGGACTTTTCCATGAAAGGGGTCAGTCAGGCCTGGCCACTCACTCCTCCATTAACAGAGTATTAGCAGGTACAACAAGCAATTTCATTTCACATCTTTCTTATTTTGTTTTGTTATGAAGCACTTTCAATCATTTTTATCCCATAATGTCAGAAACATTTGGTACAAGAATAGTGATTTTGAAAAACTGAAGAGAATTAAATGGATCTACCCATAATGCTCGGTTGCAGGTGCTTCTATAGGTGATGGGCAGTCAGCTGTGGCCAGTAACATTGCCAACACCACCTATAGGCTGCAGTGGTGGGATTTCACCAAGTTTGACCTTCCGGAGATCAGTAATGGTATGTTCTTCTGAGTACTAATGGTTTTTTTCCTGTTTTTGCAAACAAAAAGGTATCTTGTTTCACTTTTTACTTCTTCAGAAACTACAAAATGATTATCATATTTCACTTTCTTTTTCTTAGCCACTGTGAATGTACTCGTTCCTCACTGTAAGATCTACAACGATGCCAGCTGTGATATTTCAGCAGACGGGCAGCTGCTGGCCGTGTTCATTCCCAGCAGCCAGCGGGGTTTTGCGGATGAGGGCATCCTAGCCGTCTACTCCCTCGCTCCCCATAACCTGGGAGAAGTGCTGTACACCAAGAGATTCGGTCAGTGTTATCAAACAGGAACTCAGCAGCTCATTTTGGCAGTAACACTGTGAACATTTCTGTTTAGAGTTTAGAAAAAAATACTTTATTAGCAGAAATATTTGTTTTTGAGTTTTGCTTTTGACTTGCATTTCAGGTCCAAACGCAATCTCAGTGAGTCTTTCACCCATGGGCTGCTATGTGATGGTAGGTCTGGCCTCCAGACGAATCCTGCTCCATCCCACTACTGACCACATGGTGGCGCAAGTGTTTCGTCTACAGCAGCCACACGGAGGAGAGACCTCCATTAGAGTAAGAGCCTACAAAAATGCCACATTTGCAGGATTGTAAAATATTGTTTATTTAACAATATAAACTGTGAGCTAGGGTGAGTTTTATTCATAGACCCAAAGCCGTAAAGAATGATACAGTACTGTGACTAAAACTTTGTTTTTCTGCTTTCTGTGTTTTTGATGGTTTGCTTTCTCTTTGCATCCTGTAGATGATGTTTAATGTGGTGTACCCCATGGCTCCAGACCAGAGAAGACACGTCAGTATTAATTCGGCCCGGTGGCTTCCAGAGCCAGGCTTGGGATTGGCCTACGGAACCAATAAGGGCGACCTGGTCATCTGTAGGCCAGTGTAAGTAAACACCCAGATAAAACATCTGGTCCACATGCATGCTTTAGTCCTTAGCAAATTTGAATTTCCTTATCACATCGTAAAACCCAGTATTTTATGTTTTATTTCATTTGCCAAATGTTTTTATCCATAGTAAATTATTAGGGATGTAACGATTAACCGCGAGCCGGTTGAAAATCGATAAATTACAGTATACTTATTACAGGAACGAAGTATTATGCCTGAGGAAACAATGGCTCCAAAACCTAAGCTGCCTTACTGGTTATTGTCTACATAGCCAGCTGCCTGCTAAGGAAGCATCCTGAAATACAATCTCATAAGTGACCATGACCAATTACATAAACTGCAGCACACAGGATTCATAACAAATTTTTAACAGGTTGAGGATGCTGTTGCTAAGAGCATGACATTCTAGTATGAAAATACATATATTACTACAATTTAAAATAACTGTTGTATATTTTAATATATTTTAAAATGTAATTAATTCCTATAATGTCAGGCTGAATTTTCAGCATGATTACTCCAGTCTTCAGTGTCACATGATTCTTCAGAAATCATTCTAATATCCTGATTTCCTGTTCCAGAAACATTTCCTATTATCATCAATGTTGAAAACAGTTGTGGTGCTTAATATGTTTGTAGATGCTGTGATACTTTTTTCAGGATTTTTTCCCATATATAGAAAGTTCAAGTATTTATTTGAAATGGAAATATTTTGTAACATTGTAAATGTATTTTACTACTTTTGATCTATTTAGTGCATCCCTCTGAATCAAAGTATTATTTTCTTTCCAAAAAAAACAGTACTGTCCCCATATTTTTTAACAGTGCTTTGTCATTTATTTTTGATAAATTAATTTATTTTAAATATTTATATTCACCATATATCTCATATTTAACATTTAGCATCACTATGATGCCTTAAAATATTTTCTCTGTAGGCAACTATTAGGTTTTGCAACAAAGCAAGTGATAATGATAGTTTGTGAATTGCTTCTATTTGGAATGGTACCAGTAACTTTTTGGCCTTTAGCCCAGATCTTTAACCAGTACACCACCCAGCAAGATAAACAAACCAAGTGCCACCGTGAAGCACAGTAGCCATGGAAATTGCAGATAAAACCAAACACAGTTTATCGACGCAATAAAAGCCGCATTTTTACAACCAGTAATTTCCATAAATGAGTTCCAGAGCTTGTGTCAATATTGACTCGGTGAGTCAAACATGCCAAAGACTCAGAGAGTTGCTTCATTATCTGTCTGTCAGCAGTTCATCTTCAACAATTGAATAGTCAAGCGAGTTCCCGATCCCAGATCAGTGTCAGTTTTCAGATACGTGGACTATATGAGGACTTTTGATAAACCACCATGTTACCTGAAGCCGCCTTTCATTAGATTACCGTCTTCATTAGTGGCAGGAAACTCGGGTGTTCAACTGGAAAGAAGCAATTATTGTTTTTTAACAAGGTTACAGGCCACATTACCTCTGCGCCCCATGACTTTTACTGCTCATCGCTTTCAAGGAATTCTCCCCCAATCTGATGGGTTTATAATCCGATCACAGCCCACACGGACAGATGGAGTACGTCACAATAATTCCATTGCTTCTTTGCAATTCAGTTGTTCAGTTTAGTAATTTGGTCAAGTCTGGGTGCATTGGTCTTTCTTTATTGGTCTTAAACGCACAATCCGAGATCTGCACATGGCTCTCTTGAATACTTGATTCTGATTGGCTGTTCTACAATTAGCTATTTTTATACAGTATAATGCTAAACTGTATAATCGTCCCATTCAACGGATGCCCTGCATTGTTGTGCAAGCTTCATGGATTGCATCATTTTGCAGTTTCACAATAAAATATGATATTTAATGTCCATTTGTTTATTTATATATTTGGTACTTAGCTGTGTAATAAGTGGGATAATGTACCATCAGCCAGTCATTATCGCAAAATGAATCCCTTCGGGGTGATAAATAACCTGACGTGAATCATACGTTGCCATTTACTCTTGTGTGTAAACAAGATAATGAAGTCTAAAATATCTGTTTTGTTGTCAGTGATTTCCGCAGTGATGGAGACAGTCCATCGGATCTGACCTCGGATTCATTGTTTACCGTCAGCAGCAGCAGCAGCAGCAGCCGAACCCGTGGAGTGGAGCGCCCAGGGTCAGAAATTAGCAGAATCTAAAGTCATAGCTTGTCATAGTCATGGATCCAAAAATGCTCATCTGTGTTTATTTCTTACAGCACCAGCAGGTCCGGCTGGCGATTTGACCGAGACATGGGCCTTATGAACGCTATTGGCCTGCAGCCGCGTCAGGCCGCCCCTTCTGTGACCTCACAGGGGACGCAGACACCAGTGGTGCGACTGCAGAATGCCGAGACGCAGACGGAGAGAGAACTTCCTTCAGCCAGCACCTTCCAGAACGCACACACATCCAGGCACAGTAAGACGTTTGTATGAATGTAATTTGCATAAAGTTACATAAAGACACTTTTTTTTAAAACAAGAATATACAATAAAAAATCTAGCTTTTTTAAATTGTGTAATAATTTGTATTTATATGTACGATGGCGTTTTAGTGCCACGTTAAAAAATAAAAAAATCTAAGATTACGAGATTAAAGTCGTAATATTCCGACTTTATTCTGGAAATATTACGACTTTAATCTTGTAATTTCGACTTTATTCTCGTAGTATTTCGGCTTTATTCTCGTAGTATTTCAACTTTATTCTCGTAGTATTTAGACTTTATTCTCGTAGTATTTCGGCTTTATTCTCGTAGTATTTCAACTTTATTCTCGAAATATCACGACTTTAATCTCGTAATCATAAATATTTTTTATTTTTTAATGTGGCACTAAAACGCTGTCGTATATATATATGCACCATTATAACATGCAAAAAATTCCCTACTTATACAGCAGGGTCCAAAAAGTAGTGACTTTCTTATTTATTTATTTTTTGCACCAAATTGAATTATTATAATATATGTTAAAATTATATTATTTGAATAACAATTTCAATCAGAAGATTAACTAAACACTGACATAATTTTTTAGTATTTTGTTTGACCCCTTTTTGCTTTCATGCACATGCACCAAAGATTTTTTTTCGTTTTTGTATTTACAATATTAAATGTGATCTTAAACTCCAGATCTTCTATGTATTTTTAATAAAATAAAAGATTTTAATGCATGGAAATACCTGATTCACTTGATTTTCTTCTGTCAACATTGAGTGAATTGAATCATTTTGATTTTATTCATTGAAATGGACTGTTTTAACTGATTCAAATTATGGCTGGACAATAATTCAATATCAATATGTATCGCAATATAATTTTTTTCAATAACGGTGATATGATTTTTAAATACATTCCCGATATTTCAATATACATTACCAGTGTTTCCCATACATTGATTTATTTGTGGCGTTTGACTTCATTGAATAAACATGAGCACTGCATGTTTCAAAATCATAACACGGTGCGGATGTTTTATATGAATGTATCTCTGAAGGGGGAAAGGACTGTCTTCAGAAAAGTTTCGATGGCATTTTTATTTTATCTGATAAAGTAGCATTCATGAGCTGAGCTGTTTTGATTACAGCCGTTACCGGGGAAACCAATGTTTCTGCTGCTCTCAGTGCCTCCTGCTGGCAGAGAATCAGTTTGCATGTTCAATAATAAGCCCGTCTCCAGCAACGTTTTTGTTGCTCAATTTTTTGTTTTCTGCTGCAACTTAGAGCACTTCTCATACTCTTTATCCTTGCTGAAGCACATTTGTTTCAGTCTATAAGAATAATCAGCCTACACTACCAGTCAAAGGTTTTTTAACAGTAAGATTTTTATTGTTTCTTGGCAGTATTTATGAGGCTTTTTTTAATAGTGTTCATATCGATATCAGAATTATATCGTATCGACCGAAATTAAGAAATATATCGTGATATAAATGTTGGCCATATCGTCCAGCCCTAATTCAAATTAATAAACTGAACTTATTAACCGTTTTAGGAAAATTACAAGCCACATAATCAGATTTCTTAATTTTATACTGCTTGCAAAATCATTTTAAATATTCAATATATATTGCCCAGATGTAATGCACTAATGCTAAAAAAAAATAAAAAAATTAAAATACCTGCAGTGAAGTGTCTTGCTCAAGGCCACCGTGATTCTAACGGATATCTATAAAGCTCCAGTTCATTTCTCTGTAACCATGTTAAGTAATATTGATTATGTCCTCTCACAGCTGCAAAATGTGTTACTCTTGCAGTGGTTCACACAGCCAGCACCAGCACTGAGAGGCACGCACCCCCAGAGACGACACGCACACTGTCGCACACACCAGTTCAGGCATCGCTTTCAGAGGGATCGCTGAACAGGACCAACTTGCCCGCCACATATCACGGTAACTGCTTTGTCTCACTCTTTCTCATCCTGTCTCTTCCTCCTTTGTCGGACACAGGTACTGGAGTGAAATTGATTGAACTGATCGCTCCGAGATCTGTGTTGTGTCCTGCTGAGGGCTTTACACTGTTATTACTGTTTCAAGTGCTTTATTACCTGCTGTTAGCTGGTCTAATTAAATCTGCGCCCTTGTTTTCTCGATTTAATGGGACCCAGCATGCACACATGGGAAGTTAATAGATAACTTGCTAAGACCTTGTTGTTGTTGTTGTTGTTGTTTTGGTCATTAACCAAAAATCTTATTTCCCGGTATAATAAACTGCATATCACACTTAAAATATAATTATTTATGCTGGAATTTATGGTGATTGTACTTTGATAATGGTTTAGTAATAGTTTAAATTTATAGTGATTAGGGATGGGTACCGAATCCCGGTATTCTATGATGCATTTTTGCTATTCGCAATTCAGAAGCGAGATCGCGCTCACGCGGAGGAGCTTCAGCATGCGCAACATGAAAGCCCTGTTTAATTATAATAGAAGAGAGAACTAAACATTCAAACATCTGCTTACACTTTTTATTAATCAATAAATATTATACAGTTTTATAGGAGGAGTTTTTATAGACTTGGTAAATTCATTTTTCAGAAGTTTGTAGGTACAGGCATCCATTGTGGGCATTCTTGGCAGTTTTTCTGAGGCTTTTTTTAGTATTGTTCATATCGATATCGGAATTATATCGCATCGACCAAAATGAAGAAACATATCGGGATTTAAATTTTGGCCATATTGTCCAGCCCTAATGCTATAGCAACCGGTGAAATGAGATCAGTCAGCAAAATTTGTGAATAGAATAGAATAGAAAAACTTTTTATCCAAATCGGTTTGCATTGCATTCAAGGTATCAGTTCTTGTTTTCCCTGGGAATCAAACCCATGACTGTGGCGTTGCTTGCACCATTCTTAACGAAATCTGAATTTTTAACGCAATTTGAATCTTCGTTTTGCTGTTATCTGATATGAGCATCTCACTGTCCTTTCTGTTTTTTTTAGCGGACTCAGCAGCCGAGCCCAGCCCAGGAGAAGACGCTCTGTCTCGGATCCGCCGCCTAATGGCGGAGGGAGGAATGACAGCCGTAGTCCAGCGGGAACGCAGCACTACAATGGCTTCCATGGGCGGCTTTGGAAACAACATTGTTGTCAGTCATCGGATTCACCGTGGCTCACAGACCTTGGTCAGGACAACTCAGGTGGGAAACCCAACCTCGGAAATGCCTGCTGGACTCGGTATCTCGACTCTTTTTCACACTGAACCCTTGGTAGACTCTCTAGAAGCTCCTGGGCCGTCAGGGTCCAGCGGTGCCCCACTTCCGTCACAGTTTACAACTCGTTCTGAGGTCGCGGGGGCATCTCCTATGGTTGAGACAAACTTGTTTGGTGATCGTCAAGCTGATGATGTACAGCACCACCCATCCGCGAGTGGTTTGGATATGTCCAACCGTAGCAACAACAATAACAATGACCATAGCAACAGCTACAGTGAAAGCCGGAGCCGAGATTACCCTGATGACCTGTACGGCAGATAGTCTTAAGTCTGGTTTTCACAGAGACGAACATCTCAACTGGTCTACATGGTGCTGGAGCATTTCGTGGTGGACCCTTTGTTACACATAGAACATAGCATTTAGGGCGGAGCCACTGAACTTCCCGCCTCAGTTCTGACTCCTCCCACTCTGGCCTTATTTGGGAATGAATGAGTGCCAAGTTTTTCATGGCATCTCCTTAACCGGGAGACGCCAGCCTCACCTTTTTTGTCAAAACAACAGATTCTTGCTTTGGGGAAGCATCATTATTGCGCTTGCGTGTTGCACTTAAGTTCTAATTTTTCTTCCTTTCAAGGTTGAGTCTCAGACATTTCATCATTCCATGCGAGAAAGGGCATCATACTTGAATCCTTCCCGTACTTCAGTACGGAATAACATGGTTGTAGGTAAAGGGTTACTCCACCCCAAAATGAAAATTATGTCATTAATTACTCGCCCTCATGTTGTTCCAAACCCGTAAGACCTCCTTTCGTCTTCGGAACACAAATTAAGATATTTTTGATGTATTCTGACAGCTTTCTGACCCTCCCATAGACAGCAATGTAAGTAACACGATCAACGTCCAGAAACGTAGCAAGGAGATCGGTAAAATAATCCATGTGACATCAGGGGTTCAACCGTAATTTTACGAAGCTACGAGAATACTTTTTGTGCGCAAAATTACTTACATTGCTGTCTGTTGGGGGGTCAGAGAGCTCTCAGAATACATTAAAAATATCTTAATTTGTGTTCCGAAGATGAACAGAGGTCTTACGGGTTTGGAACGACATGAGGGTGAGTAATTAATGACAATTTTCATTTTGGGGTGGGGAGGGGGGGGAGTACCACCCTTTCAAGCTTTAGGAAAAATCATCAGCCAATAGAAGTGCCAGATGAGACTGGGGAGACTGGGGTACGATTCCTTTGGATCCCATGGGGTCTGTTGTCTTCAGGACATTTCGGTTTGAGGAACTGTAAAACAGTACAGACTCTTCACAGCTAAACACTAACTCACACAACATCCTCTAACGGTTTTTGTGTTTAAATTCAGAGATTATGCTTGACGTGATTGTTTTTTGTGTGTGCGATAATGTGACTTTCAGTGGTCAAGTCATTCAGTTGATCAGTATCTTGAACAACGTCTGCTTTGAAGTTCTCAGACTGGAAAGACTCGTCTGCGTGAGCATGTGTCCTACTAAACTTCCAGATGGCGAATTTTAAGATGTTTTTTAATTTGAATTTATTTATCTGTTGTTTGAAAAATACACTTCTGAAAGCATGTCGTCTGTAATTGTCTGTCGGATAAAAAAAGCAGTTCAGGAACCCTCAAGCTGGTTCAGATCTCTCATATCTGCATGTGTGTCCAATTCCAGAGCTTTTATACAAGGAGGCGGGCTGAAGCTGAATGCGGAAGGCGGGGCTTAAGCAAATTAGCATGTAGGCTGTAGAACGCACATGCGCATCAAGTAAAATTTTGGTACGCTGAGCAGTTTTTATTGGGCTTTTATACATTTGTGACCGTTTACTTGTGTGTAGGAGTCAATTCACGTTTATTGTTGCAACTGTTGTGATTTAACACGATGCATTTTTACTAATCCTACTGATATAATTTCCCAGAAATACCTTAATACTCAGAAATGACATGCAAGACCATTAAAATTATTGTGCCAGATCATTTTCATGCTTCAAATGCAACACTTTTTGCGCAATTTAGCCAATTCGCCATTAATTCACCTCAAATCATCTGATTGGCCGACTGTTCCATTCTACCAATCACAACAAGCCTCTTATGATGCGCAAGCGACAAATGGCAAGTGATTGCACTTAAGCGCCCTTTTCTCCTGCACCGAGAACAGCGTTACAGACAATAAACCAGGCATATCTCTATCATAGATCTGGATTATGAGCGATAATCACTCTTGAATAACACATAATAGAGTATTTCTTGGGCACTGGACACTTAGGAGAGAGACGCCCCTATATGCGCGCACACTGCTGAGAGTCACTGACGACGGGCACTATCTGAATGTGTGGATGTGTATGTCTGTGAGTGTCCTCCACTGAACCTAGAGAGTTTTATTATAAATAAATGTAGCATTGTAAATGTAGAGATGATAAATCGTGGGGAAAAAAAACTTAAATCCATATTTCAGGGTGGGGTTTGGTTTTTTTTATGACATACTTGCCTTGTGTGCTCTATTGTGCTTGATTAGATTCTCGTGTACGATTGGTCAACTCTAGCGATTTGAGTTGTCAGTGCATTTGCATATGCACAGGCCTTTCGTTAACAAGCATTTATAAAAATATCTCCCTCTGCTTTTGTGTAAAAGATTTTGTTATTTTAGCTGCTTGGCTTGAATTAGTAGCTTTTTTTTGTAAATAAAAAACAAAACCAAAAAAACACGGTCCCCAATAGGAATGGTTTGTGTTTTGAACGTTTTTGGATGTAAGATTCTATTGGATTGAGGTCTCATCGCAAACAATGGCAGCTGAGGAACCTCTCGGAAACCACATACCCTTTGGTGTTTTTCCATGAGTTCAGTGCCTTGGGGAATCTTCTCCTTACTGAACCACAAAAATGCCGTTCTGATGTGAGACAAAACCAGAATAGCTTCTTCATAAGCCTTTTGACCGTTGAGTGTTTTAGTTATTGGTAGAAATATTGGTAAATCTGAAGTCTGGTTGTGTTGGCTGTCATTTCGATTATTTATTTTACCCTTTGTGTGAATGACAAATGCAATCCTGATTTTTAAAAAATGCTTCTATGATAAGAGAGAAGGACCTTTTTACGTTAAACTCCATCAAGGACACCCCTTTTCCTAATTTTACTAATTTCTGACCATATGCACAACTTATTTTTATGAAGTCGTTTCATGCAGGGCTTGTTTTAGACTTTTAGGCCTCCTGACAATTCATTTGTTCTGACGAGAATAGCTGACGGCGACCGAAAGTGTGACATTTTAAAAACTGTAATTGTGTTCTTGTTGGATGTGTGGTTATGTATATGCTCTCACTGCTGGATCGGTACCGTAGCTGAAATCATGATGGTGGAAAGGACCAGAA